CACAATTAGGAGCACAGAAACCCTGGTGTAGCGGTACCCTTTTCTGACAACCTATTCTAAAAATAAGAAGCTTAACTTGAGTAACTCCAGACAATGGAATTAAGGCAGAGGAGATGTCTTTGAATCAAGCTTCATGGCTTCTATAAGGTCATGGATATGGACACACAATTTTCCTAACAGCAAACATCTTCTACAGAGCTCACCAATATGTCTGGAGACTCATTCAGCATGAAAATGTCCCAGCCAGGGTGTAAAATGGGGCAAAACTCCCTTAACAAATGTTTCACTTAACAACAGAAAGTTTGGGCTCAATTGTGGTCGTAGGTCAAGGATTACCTGTACATTAAAGGCTAGCAACTTGTATCAGTCCTATCAATACTATAAATGGCTGGTTGAGGATAAGACAGGAGTTGTTTTAAATTGGGTAAACCAAAGGGATTGTGATAGGAAAGAAAAGTATACGTAGCAAATTTTACTTTTGACTGCCTATTCTTTGCATCCTGATTTTTGTTCCTTAGATCCTAGGTTCTCTCCCACCTGCTTCATTCCTTTCATACCTGTTCGACTGCTTTCGTATCGTTTCTACTCATAAGTGAGCTTCAGGCTCAGCAGATTCTTAATCAAACTTCCTATTTTGCTCTAGTGTCTCTTGTCAATCTGGATTTGTTTTGCTGGTTGGACCTGTTTTTGGCATGAGCTGGGTCACACATTTTAAGTATTACCCCGGGTTTCTGTGCTCCTAATTGTGCAAAGAGGCCTGAGCTGGCTCTTGCCAAGTCTTCCCATGCTTTCCTTCCTCGTGAAAGGGGCTCAGCTACAGGGAAAGAATTTCAATCTATTCTTGGCATCTCGGTGTTATTTTCTTCGTAGATCAAGCCTACAATCAAATACCTGTTGGGCGCATAGTGTGCTCAGTGAAGGTTACAAAATTAAGCAAATAGATGTCCTTTTTGTGTGGCTACATTCTTTGGATGGTTTCTTCCAAGGAAAACATCTAAAGAAAAAAAGGACTGCATACATAGAATGGAAACTGGCATCCCATAGAGGTTATTTAATTGTAAAGTAAATTGTACATTAGAAGAAATCAACAATATAACATTTTAACATAGTCCTTAAAAATCCCGATTTTACCGAATAATTTTTTAAATCCAGTTTCTAAAATTGCCCAAAGGCAAGGAGAATGTATCTGGGGCAGGGGTTGAAAGAAAATCCCTTTCTTCCAAAGTGTATATCCTGTCGTAAGCAAGTGAAATTTCAGCCAAAAGTTGAAATAGGCCTCATTTAGTGACAGCTCAAGCTCCGCCCCTTTTGTACTTATGTGTTGTCATAATAAAAGAGGCATCGTATTTATTGCAGTGTCACAATATATATTTGCCATGGAAGTTTAATGTTACTTTTACAAGCTAGGTCTTGCCTGAAAATAAGTTGGCATTTTTTGTTTTCTGTTCAATCGTGTCTGATTCTCGGAGACTGTCTGGATAAGCCCCTGCACCCTGGGCCGTGGCCCACAACCATGCCTTGACNTACTTACAGATCTCTTGCCAACAAAGAGCTCCTCAATTCTTGGTTGTTTTGCTATCTTCACTGGGCTGGCGCCATGGCGTTTCTTTCTTTTTCCCATCCTTATTTAATTCTTCGGCAACAACGAAAGTTTTTGTTTGTATTATGTTCTATGCTGTTATCTCCACCAAAAAATGTTAAATAAATAAAAAAGAATCCAATAGGAGTACTAAAAATTGATAAAATAAAATAAAACCGGGAGGCACTATTGCAAACATGCTCCAGCTGCACCGGCTGCAGCTCTGCCCCGGTATTTTATATATCATTTGCTGTGGTGCAGAATTGTGCTCTGTCCAACCTCATCAAATTCAGCTTCGATCTGTCTTTATGCATTTCAGAAATCTACTCTTAAAAATAACAGAGGAAATACAATCAGATATTTATGAAAATGTATGTTCTATGAACAGTAGCCTAAATAATACAGTGCTAATTTATCGATTCAATTATCCTACCTTGAAAGGATCCTTTTCAGCAGAAAGATAAAAGGAAGAGTATACCTTCAGAAACCAAGAACCTTTCTATTTAAGGAAATGTGATGCCTACAAACTTAAGAACAGAAGTTATTCAGGGTCCACTCACCTGAGCACCTGCAGCCACCTGTCTCACCAGATATTCCACAATAACGTCAGTCAATAAAGTGAGCAGCTGATAGCTGGCCTCAGGATGTCGGTAGAGCCAAGCCTTGGCTTTCGCCATTGTGTTGGAGCCACCACCTTCAATCATATAGGACATCAAAGTCCACTAGGAATGAGAGTGAGCAGAAAGGAAAAGTACATATGAATAAAAAAGTCTACTTCCAAAGCTAGCCCAGCTTCTGCAATTACATGAACCTTGCAGAAACAGTGAAGCAGCTCTACCTCAAACAGATTACATGGTTGGCATTGTACTTGTGCTCTCCTCTGAAACTATATCAACAGTTTGTACATTCTGGAGAGTTACACATCTTGTCCAAAAAAAGTAGCTTGTGAAACAAGTTTTCATATCCAACCAAGTCTTTTGGGATGAAATGCAATAAATAAAACCCCCATCTGGCTCAAATCACATGTTATAAAATAAAACTGGTAGATATTTGTGGAGTAGATGGTTGGCTAGCCAACTGATCAATGTATTAATGGCGGAGGAGCAAGAGTATAAAAGGTCTGGCTGAAAGTAATTAAGAACCAAGACATTTTTTCCTTCTCAAATGACTTGTCAAATGCTGCTGCCAAAGACTCAGAACCTTCCTGGTATCCAATAATAACATAGAAATCTAGCACATTCCTATACTACCCAATAGAAAAGTGTAGAGATGCAAACAGGGATTTCTTGTAAGGTTTGTTTTTCCAAACAACTGAACTCACTGGGGCACCAGAGAAGCCGATCAGAGGCACCTTCCCTTCCAATCTCTGCCGTGTCAGTGTGATGGCCTGGAAGACATAGCCCAGTTCTGCTGCCACATCGACCTTCTGCCGAAGCTTCAGGAGGTCCTCTACTTCCTTTAGTGGTTCTGGAAATGTGGGCCCTTTTCCTGGCACCATCACCACTTCCATGCCCAGTGCCTGAAAAAGATGAGTCAATGTGGGACAGAACTCATTCTGGTTTTTAAAAGTTTGCCAGCTTCTCTTCTCCCAAGTAAAATCATTAGCAGTATCTCCTCCTCCCCAGCCATTTCTCATACCTGAGGCACCACCAAGATGTCAGAGAAGATGATGGCAGCATCAAAAGGAAAGCGTCGTAGAGGCTGAAACCAAAGAGATTAGAAAAAAACACATAAACTCAATTTTTAACCAGCTTTGATTTGTACATAGGTATTATATGAAATAGGTGAATCTAGCATTCATGATGGTAGTGAAAATATAAAGAATTTGATTGAACAAATTCAGAGAAAAAGTAAAATGGGGATTTTTTATGATGCACAGCAGCTGCCATTCTATGTGGAGTGTTTTTATATATAAAAGAAAATTAAGAAACCATAATTACAGGTCTCTCCAGATGCAGCTTTAAGTGCTTCTTGGATAATTAAGAAACCCAGCATTGCTGTATCAATAGCACAATCTTGCCTACCATGCAGACATATATTGTTCACTAAAGAATTTCTCTATACATCAGTTCTGCTGATTTTCAGAAACCACATCACGTCTGGTAGTACTATATTGTTAATATTATTCACATTCTGCTAATGAGGCACCTCCCTTTTATAAATATATGCTGAAATTTATAGGAAATGCAAGAATGCCTAACTTAGCAAGAGGCAAATTATTGTTCATTTGGGGCAGAATATAGTTATAAAAAATATGATAATTAACGAGGATCTTTTCAAGAGCTACAATATGAGCACAAGAGCTATGGTGGCACAGTGGTTAGAATACGGTATTGTGTGGGTTAACTCTGCATTTGCATTGCCAGCAATTCAATCCTGATGGGGCTCAAGGTTGACTCAAACTTCCATCTTTCTGAGGTCAGTAAAATGAGGACCCAGATTGGTGTGGGGGGAAAATATGCTGACTCTGTAAACCACTTAGAAAGGGCTGTAAAGCACTGTGAAGCAGTGTATAAGTCTAAGTGCTATTGCTATTGGAGGGTGGCAATAATTGGGTGTATACATTCCAGTCATACTACTAGAAATATTGGTAGTTCTAGGACAATGTACTAGATGCTTGCTCTTCAATTTTGTGTCTAAAGAAAGAAGTAATTTGGTTCAAGAAATTTGCTCTTGACTAACTAGGTGAGCCCTATAACGTGTGCATTCACAATTACATGCAATGCTTCAGTATTGGACAATATTCTTCACTTTGCTTAAGAAAGATTAAATATGTCTGGGCCCCATCAAATCTTTCACGCCCAATCTTATGTTCTACAATTCCCCTGCCGCCCCCTTCCCAAACAAACAGCCCTTAATGACAAAGAGGAGGAGCCCCCCAGGATGGCTCTCCAAAATGTTTAAAAATCTGGCCCCAAATTGTTGAAAGTGTAAAAAAAACACCAGGCACTTTTTATCATATGTGGTGGACATGCCATGAGGCCAAAAGATATTAGGAAATGATTCAATCATGGTTGGAACAAATAGTGGGAGACCAAATTTTGTTTAAACCAGAACTTTTTCTCCTAGGCATAATACCAGAAGGGTTTAAGAAAAATATACTCTATCTAATTATACATGTACTAACTGTGGTGTGCATAACTTTTGCACAGTATTGGAAAAAAGAAAATACACCATCAGAGCTAGATATAATCAGAAAAGTGTTGGCCTGTGCGGAAGCAGATAGGCTCACTTAAAAATAAAGGGGAATCAGAATATTTTGAAGTCTGGAACAGATTTTATGATTGGTATAAGACAAGGTGACAAGACTGGAACAAACTGTATACATTGTGATTTGACAGAAGTATAGATAATGCACTAAGTAGGCTAATAGTTAATGGTTGAGACTAGTTGTGTATAATGTGAATGTATGGTCACTTCGACTCAGTGGTACTGCACTGTTTTAAATGTAAAAATAATAAAAATATATTTTTTTAAAAATGACAAAGAGGAGGAGAAGTGACCAATAAAAAATAACTGAGCGGGACAATGATTAGGAACAGCAACCACTTAATGGGAAAAAAATGAAAATATGATTGGAAAACCATTAAGTAGCTCAGATGAAGAGACAAGTCATATGGGATAGTGTTCAAAGTTGCCAAAGACAGTATTAAAAGATCATGAAAAGTAGTGATTTAAAAATATAACAAAAGGATAAATATTAAAAAGTTATTTTTTAACAAATACAAAATTTTCTATTTAAAACTAAAATTATATTCAGATCAAAGAGAAAACTCTCAATGGGCCAAAATAGAAAAAGATTAATGGGTGGAAAAAAAGAAAAGGTTTTTTTTCCCCAATATGAAAATTATAAAAACAAATCCAAGTAATGTTTAAAGTGATGCTGTCAGTCTGACAATGAACACTGAAAAAATATTGACAAGTTTATAACAATGTGACAGAAAACAGAGGAAGCATTATATAAATAGAAGATTAAAAAGCGGAAAAAGAACTCCCAAAGCAGTCAGCAATGTATATAATTGTTTTGTAGGCAAATAAACAAAAATGTAGGGTACCAATATGGTTTTTTTTTAAGACAAAACTACATCGGGTAAATTAATGAAAATAAACCTAATGAAAACATCCCAAATTAAGTTCTAATACAGAAGGTAAGAAATACACGCAGTACAATAAGGATGAATAAATAACAGAAGCAAAGAAGAAGGGAAAACACCCAGGATACACAGACGTTAAACAAGTGGAGCAGAGATTAACTTTAGAAAAGAACAAAATGAAAATAGACTTAAGAGGTTAAGTCATGTCCTGAACAGAACCTCAGTCCTGAACAACATAAAGCTCCCTCCTTACTTGCAGCGTAAGTTCACAGCATTTCTCTGGTGATCGACAGGTTGCAAAGAAATCCTGAGCTGCTCGAGTCTCACGGAATTCTGCAAAATAATTAGAACGGGGTTGGAATGTGGATTGAACAGTCATTAAATGAATTGTTGTAAGTCGAGGACTACCTGTATTCACACCCAGAATTTTCCCCAGAATCTGATCTTTAGAATATTTTTCCCTTGCCCTCTTCTCATTTGACAGAAATTAACTCTTGCTTCATAATTCATGGCTTATATATCTTATTAAAATAAAGTGTCCATACCCAACCCAAGAGAGTCAGGCTGATATAGTGGTTAAGGCATCAGGCTAGAAACTAGGAGACTGAATTCTAGTCCTGCCTTTAGTCACAAAACTAGCTGGATAATCTTGGGCCAGTCACTCTCTTTCAGCCCTAGGGGGAAAATGGAATGGCAAATAACTTCTGAAAATTCGGGGCAAGGAAACTGCAGAGACTGTCTAGGTAGTCAGCTGGAATCAACATTGACTTGAAGGCACAAAAACCAATACAACCCCACCCCAAATACTACCAATCACTTCAAAAAAGCCACAAGGTATAGAAAAAGCTATACTGTCTAGCTTCCCAAATTCAGGTAACTAATGGGGGTTCCGTTTCTTTTTGCTACCATCTAATGGCTATCTATAAAGGGATGCGGTGGCTCAGTGGCTAAGACGCTGAGCTTGTCGATCAGAAGGTTGGCAGTTCGGCGGTTCGAATCCCTAGCGCTGTGTAACTGAGTGAACTCCTGTTACTTGTCCCAACTTCTGCCATCCTAGCAGTTCGAAAGCATGTAGAAATGCAAGTAGAAAAATAGGAACCACCTTTGGTGGGAGGTGTTCCATGCACCTTTGGCATTTAGTTATGCCAGCCACATAACCACGGAGATGTCTTCGGACAGCGCTGACTCTTTGGCTTTGAAACGGAGATGAGCATTGCCCACTAGAGTCAGGAATGACNTGTCTGAAATGGTATAGGGTTTCCTGCCTAGGCAGGGGGTTGGACTAGAAGACCTCCAAGGTCCCTTCCAAGTCTGCTATTGTATTGTATTGTATAATATGTACACATTGGTGTTTTAGTTGTGTAAAACTGAGTACTCGGAAAGTGAAGTGTACATATACCATATTTTCAGTGCGCTGTGGATTCTCCCGCCAAAAAAAAAAAGTTGAAACAAAGAAACTGATAAAACTGCCTTTGACAACACCCATGTTTTTATCTATAGGATGCTGAATGGTGCTGCGGTTAAGGCCATTTTTATCTGCAGAGAGCATGTTGTATCTGTAGAAGAGCCACCCATGGTTTTTAATCAGTTTGAAGCAGAAGCGGCCTCTCACTGTTAGTATAGGAAGACATCACACAATTCAGAGCTCAGAATTTATAAAATCTCCTAAATATTTAATTACCAAACATGTAATGAGAGTATTCTTAATAAACATATACATAATTAGCAATGCGCTGTACAGTCACATGCAATACAGAATAAAATTGATTTATAATGTAAGCAAAGAGTCCTGAGCTTAAGACTTTAGCCATCACCAGCATTAGCCAAGGCATTTCACTGCCTTAGGTAAAGTGGTAAATTTCCCCTTCACTGCTGCCACATCATGATATATCGCATCCATGTTTGGTCAAGCTATTTTATTACCTGATATGTAACTTACATCTGAGAAAGTAATTATCCTATAAAGAGTCATAGTTCAGTGGCAAACCATTTGCTTCTACAATGTCTCAGTTCAATCCTTGCATTTATACAAAGGTGGTGTGGAAAATCTAAAACATTACTACAATCAACCAAACAAAAGTGGTAAACCAGCTAGACTGGTGGGTTGATCCCATAAAAGGCAGCACCTTAGGTCTCTAATCCACAGGAAATATGGCCTTGGGCTTTCTTCAAAACAAACTGCTTGCTGAAACTTTAAGATTAAGAGAGGTGCTTTTTTCAATCATTCTAGAATGTTATTAAGAAAACAGACAGTGAGAAAATGGTGCTTGATTCTGGGAGAGAAGAGGCAGAAATGACAGAATTAGTATGATAATCACTGATCCACTAGATTAGGAAAGCATGGGCTGGGCTCAGAGATTACCCTAACCCAAAATGGAATCCATTCAATATAATCTGTTTTTACAGATTAGAAAGCTGCCTGAATCCAGTTGATTGTGATTTATTCAATAAACTCAGGTAACATCCTAGCTTAATGTGTCATACGGATACAGCCACTAGTAAATATACATATAGTTCCTCAGGCCGGGGCCTGTCTTACCATAAACCAGAATTTAAGCCTGTTCCTATAATGTGGTGGATGAGTTTTGTCTAGGAAGATTCAGGTTCAAATCCACTGGATTATAAATTTTGGGGTGGGCATTCAGTCAACGCTATTTCTCAGAGTTATGGAGAGAAAATTAGGGGAGAATCTCAGGTAAATCATCTTTTTGTTCTTTCAAAAACAAACAAACCCCAGACATTAAGGCAATAAATAACACATTTTTCCTGGACAAGTTGAAGTTTTGCCATCTATCTTGCTGTTTTAACCACCAGAGGTGTTTGCTTTTCATTTTCTACTGTATTTATAATTTTAAAAAATAAGCAACTGAATCGTGGACAGCCTCCTTACCCAATAAATGCCTTTCCTTTCCAGCCTTTGAACCAAAGCCTTGATGCAGGAACCAAGTTTTTGGAGTTTGGGGAAGAAACCAGAGTCAGGTAGTGCATTCCAGGCATTTACAAATCTGTTACTGAAGTAGTATTTTCTGCAGTCGAGTTTGGAGCGGTTTACCTTAGGTTTGTATCTATTGTGTGCTTATGTATTGTAGTTGAAGCTGAAGTAGTCATTGACAGGTAGAACACTGTAGCAGATAATTTTATGTACTACTTTAGCTCAGACTGAATGTGGCATAGTTCTAAATTGTCTAAACCCAAAATTTCAAGTCTGGTGGCATAAAGGATTCTATTGCAAGCAGAGAAGTGGAAGACTCTTCTGATGAAATATCTCTGGAGTCGTTCAGTTGTATTAATATCTGATATGCAGTGCAGGTTCCAGACAGATGAGCTGTATTCAAGAATTGGTCTAGCTAATGTTTTGTACGCTCTGGTTAGCAGTACAATATTGCCAGAGAAGAAGCTCAGCAAGATTAGGTTAACAACTCTTAATGCCTTTTTGGCAATGTTGTTACAGTGGGCTCTGGCACTTAGATCATTAGATATGAGTACTCCAAGGTCCTTTTTGCCCACTTTTTGATGGGCAAAAAGTACGAAACAGACAAAATAAGCAGATCTTAATGGGTTGGTGGTTCGAAACTCCCCGGCGGGCAAAAAGAACAAGAACCCCGGCGCTCACGGGCTAACTGCGGTATAATCCCACGCCGCGGACTCGCAAAATCACGACCGCCCTGATTTAAGTTCCGCCGATAGAGGATGATTTACGGTAGAGCAGCCGGAATTGAGGCAGCGGAGGAAGCAGGAAGCTTCTGACCGCCGTAGCGCTTTCGCCGGCTGCGACAAGGAAGGAGAGGCGAGGACCGGTGGAGCGGCTGCCGCAGTTCCCGCCCACCCCGTCGAGACAGGCGGGATGGGTCCCTCGACTGACAGCGAGTCTCCGCACCTGCTGCTGGGCCGGCTGCGCTTCCTGAACGAGGCGACCGGCTGCCTGATCCGGGCGGAGCCGCTGCCCGCCGCTTTGGGCTACGTGCCCCGCGAAGTGCAGTACAAGCTCTGCAAGGATCCCAGCGCCCAGGGACCCGCCTCGGCCTCGGGACGGAGCCTGCTGTCTGTGTGGGAGAGCCCAAGCAAAGCTGCGGCCGGTGCGGGTCCCGGCATCAGGAAAGGTCCGGGCAGGGCCACCATCGAACTGCGCAAAGGGTCGTGCATTCGAGCCAGCGGCGAGGAATACTGCAACGGGCACGGGCTCTGGGTGAAGTTCACCAGGGTGAGGGACAAGGCGGGGCTCTCTTTCTCTCTCTCGAGCGCGGCCTTTGGACCTGGAGGCTAATCCGAAGAAACGGAGTGAAATCCTGGCGGGCCAAAACCGTTTCGATCCCGCGTTAGTTCCGAGTAGATCCAAATAGATCCTGATCAGGATATTTCTCTAGTTCACCATCTTATTCACTGTATTTCATTGACTCTGAAATTTGTACAGGCATATTTATTATCACAAAAATACAAGCTGAGTTTACATAAGAATAGAATAGAATAACAGAGTTGGAAGGGACCTTGGAGGTCTTCTACTCCAACACCACCACTCCCCCCCATGCAGGAAACCCTATACCGTTTCAGACAAATGGTTATGCAACATCTTCTAAAAAACTTCCAGTGTTGGGGCATTCACAACTTCTGGAGGCAAGCTGTTCCACTGATTAATTGTTCTAACTGTCAGGAAATTTCTCCTCAGTTCTANATGCCAGCCACATAACCACGGAGATGTCTTCGGACAGCGCTGACTCTTTGGCTTTGAAACGGAGATGAGCATTGCCCACTAGAGTCAGGAATGACTAGCACATATCTGTGAGCGGAATCTTTACCTTTACCTTAATGGCTATCTGGACTTTTACAATTCAGAAATGACACCCTGACTAGACAACAGAAACGGTATTATTGGACTATAATTCCATTCAACTCAACCAATATGGCCAAGGACTAAGAATAACTAGCACTGCAGCTATTTGAAAGTGATAAATGGCATCTCTTGTAGAAATCCATGTCACGCTTTCTGCTTTAATTACCTGGCAGGTATCTTCCTGCCTGCCTCATGCACCAAACAGGAGTGTATTTTGTCTCTTCTCCAAGTGCTGCTTGCAGGAAAGTATCATTTTTCAATTCAGGAAATCCTGTAGGACTAATCAGAAAACAAAAAGCAATATGAACTTAAAAGATGGAGACTTTGAATCTTTCAGATGACTATAGCTGGTGGTATTAAGCAGTTACTTCTCAATATATATTCTACAGCCTTCCTTAGTGTGGGAATTACAAGAGTGGAAATCCTGCATCTGTACAGGGAAAAATCGAATAATATCTTTTTAATTCCTCCTTGGGGTTAAGGATGCAGTCAAAAGCTAATGGTGTCTGCCATCAAATGTGGCTTTGGGAAATCTTTCCAAGCTCTTTACCAATAGGAGGCATCCATTATGAAGTAACACGCTGCATCTGTGCATGAGCATTTTTGTTCCTGTCCCATGGTGTCTGTGCACTGGGAGGAGAGTGGACCCCATATGTTCCACTCTGGGGCACACGACTAGGAGAGAGCAGGGAGGGTGCTTAGAATAGGGCACTGCCAACATTCAAAGTCATGCCCCTTAGGGATGCACTGTGGGAATTTGTTTTTCTCTGTGCTCATGTCTGGGTCCAAACCATTTCCATCTTGATCTGTCTTTTCACAATGTGTGTGCCTACAGTGATTTGATCCCCCATTTGTTCAGTTTCCAGAGTGTTATCCTGCTGACAGGCATTCAGGCAGGCAGAGTCCCAACCTCATCACGTTTCTTTCCAATATTCCAAAGGGCTGGAATAAATAGGCAAGGAAATCACAGCTAGAAATTCTTCCCACCCCCTTTAGTCCCATAAGCAGCCTTAGGAAGCACCTGGCTTTCCTTCCATGTGATAATGAGCTACATTTGGGTGCCCTTTGTCCCCAGGCACTAAGCAGGTTGAATGCACACACAGAAACACACATGGAGGGAGAGGGAGAGAGAGAGAGAGGGAGGGAGGGAGGGAGGGAGGGAGAGAGAGAGAGAGAGAGATAATTGAGGGAGGGCACATGCAGACTGTGTATGTTTGTGTGCTCTCCCCTTATGTTGTACATGTATGTATTATTTATCCATACGTGTACGCTGGGAAACACAAGACAGATGGCATATACTTTGTTCGTGGTTATTCGATCATAATGAATGCAGTTAAAATGGAAGTGCCATAGGCTCACATGATAATGTTTTCTGCATTTTTTTCTCTGCAGCTCCCCAACTTCTTCTGATCCATTTTCAGACTTGCGATCTCTACTGTCAGCTTCTCCCCGGTTATCTATCTATATGCAACTCCCACTGTTATGATCTTTAACTGGGTGAAATGGTGCATCATAGGGCAAGGGTTTGGGGACCAAGGAACCTTTAATGGGCTAATTTACATAATGTGATCCATGACCCAAGGGAATGAAATTTGGAGGAATGTGGCTGTTTCAGTGCTATTGGCTGCTGCTCCGGTCACCTGATCTTCATTTTCAAATTTCTTTGACAGTTTCTCAGTCAGTCTCACAATACTTTACTCCCTCCCCACCCAGCCATTATCTGTCTTCTGGGATGGGAAGGGAAGGGATAGGAAGGGAAGAGAAGGGAACCCCTGTGCACCCCCACCTGCCCCCATGCCCTCTGCAGGCTCCCCCAACCTGTGCTTACACACCTGCACACTTTCCCAACCCCACACTGGCTTTCTCCAACCCATGCAGCACCTGTTATGCAACCCCATGCACCTTCCCTGACCTATGCTGCCCCCCCCTGCCCCCGTGTGCCTTCCTTGACCAACTGGGTCTCTCTTGCGTTCCCCAATGCATCTTTCCTGACATGTATTGTCTCCTGTGTGTCATCACTGATCCACATGGCACCTCTTGTGCACTGTCATGTCCCCTCTCCAACCCCTGCCTCTCTGGCATACCTTCCTGACCCATGTAGCACCTTTTGGGAATCCCCATACACCTGTCTCGCCTGTATGCCATCCCTGAACTGCACAGCACCTCTATGCTCTCTCTACCCTTCGGTACTCTTCCACATTCCTCCTGTGAACCATCCCCAACCAGAGCAGCACCTCTCATGCACCCTTGCGACCCACATGCATTCTTCTGCAACCACACTGTCTTCTGCATACCCTAATTGATCCCCATAGCCTCTTACACCCCTGTGATCTCCACATCCCTTTTCATCCACACTATCCCATCCCCCCCCCCATGCATTCTACCTGAACCTCAGGCACCTTGGATACCCTTTCCAACCTACATCACCATTTGCACAACCTCCCTAACGCTCACAGCATCTCTGATGCACACCCACATATCCTTCCCAAACCACATGGTACCTCTCACACATTCCCATGTATCCTTCCTAACTTGCACCTACATGTACCTCCTTGCTCTCTTCCCACTCCCAGCAGCAACCACCTAGCTGCCTGCTGGCTTCCTCACTGACTTTCTCCCTGTAAGCTTTCCATAAACAAAGAAAATAGGAAGCAAATAGGATTTTTATGAAGGAAGGGAGGGAGATAAGAGCAGAACAATAGGGAGGCAGGAAAGGAAGGAAAGAAAGATCGATCTCTGATGCTCCCTGCCAATTTCCCACTGGAAACCTAATGGGGAAGCAACAGGAAATTGGAAGTCACTCCTGTTTCCACTGCTTATTTGCCCTTCCATAGTCGTCCTGTTTTTCTGCTTAGGTAAGATAATATCTCTGAAATGATGACCCAATGGCCGTGCGGTGGTCTAGCCAGAAAAAAAATTAAGTTCTATTCTATTTTCTGAGAATTATCCTAGTGAGGGTCAAACACACAGAATCCTGAGGTCCTTTACATTATTTCTTTCCAACTGTGGCAAAAAGCTGAAAATAAATGAAACCTCCCCTCCTTCTCAATGGCTAGTCTTTTAAATAAAAATAAATAAATCAGATCTTGATTATTTTTCTGGAAGTGATTATTGCCTCAATTGCAATAGCAAAGCATTCTGAAGATTTTCAAAAATATTCTGAGCTCTGATTCCTAAATAAAAGTTATACAATAAGCTTTACTCTTATATGCAAACTCAAGTTCTGAATGTAGCATCCTCATCTCCTATTCAGGATTTGGGATGACAGAAGAGATTCCTGTAAGGGGGAAAACACATCCTCCAAACTCTGCAGAATTCCAGCCCTCTGAAAACTAGTATCAGAGCAGTTTCTCTCACATCACAGCAGAGCTAAAGTTAAATCTCCTCAGCTGTCAAAGAGACACAACAGTGTAGGATTACACATGCTGACAGTTTATCCAGAAGCAGCTACAGATGCCCCTAGCCCCTATGCCACTGTCACACAATAACAATGATTTTTGTAGGTTAGCATAATCTTTTTTCACTGTCAGTAATATAGAGCAGCAGTTAACTTTTGATTACCTGCTTATACTGTCAGCATCATTGGTCAGCAGCAATGTAGCAAATTAATCTTTTAAATGCAGGGTAATTCTGAAATAAATTTCACTAAGTTCCAGAGACTTATTCCCGGGTAAGTGTTCATAAGATTGTAACTTAAATGGTCCATGTATCATAAGAAAAAACTGTGCATTATTACAATGCCCTTCACTGAGATACTGTATATGGAATTGTACTGACCTACACTTTACACATGTCATCCCAAAATTAATTCCTATTCAATCACTTAAGTCATCAACTTAAGGGTCTTATGGAGCGGTGACTCTCAAAATTCTAGCCATTTTGGTTATAGAAAGTCTGTGAGCTATACAATACCAATTGGGAAGGAAAAGGTTGGGATAAGCTATTATCTCTAAAAAGGTATGATAGAGTAGATAAATTCACTCGGTAGGCACAGGACAAAGATAGCAGAATTTTGGCTCTCATATTCAACTGGACGGTGCACCTGTATTTTTTTTATTGCAAAATGTTGTTTGGAAATTATTTCAAAATATCACCTTTATAGCCCATTCTTATCATCTCATTTCAAAAACAAACACTGAGAACTTAGGTTTCTTGTCCCTGTATATATTTCAAAACGATCACACAATATTTTCAACCCTTTTCACATTTATATTTCTGAAGAACGGTAACATAGGGAAGGAGAGGGCAGCGTAAAATGTCCCAGATATTGTGAATTGTAATTCTCGTGTCCTCTGACCATAGTAAGGCCAACTGGGGCAGATAGCAGCCAGATTCCAATCGTATCTGCAAGGTTACAGCTTTGCCTTCCTTGAACTAAGGAGCAATTGAACAGAAAGAGAGATTCTCAGAATACCATGTTCTTAGGCTGCTTTCCACACCCAGGAGATTATCTCAAAAAGGGGACAAATGAGACGTTTGAGCCCCCTGGTTTTTAAGCCGCAGAACAAAAAACTACTACTGAAACCTAATCTCTTTTCTGCCAGAAGTGCCTAGTCACACATTAAAACTAAGAAAGGCGAAGGATAATGACCTCTTTTATAAAGTCCTGCCTATCATTCTTGACACAGTGCTACTCTGGGCGCCCAAACTAAACACTAGCTCACGGGGGCTGCAAACCACTAGATTTCTCAGTTAAGTGGCCTCCTTTTCCTGGACCTTGGATCTTGGGGAGCACGTCTGCACGTGAAGCTATCTGCTTACACTGAAGAACTAATGATTTTGCCACAAGGCAGGGGTCACCAAACTTGGCAAGTTGAAGACTTGTGGACTTCAACTCCCAGAATTCTCCAGCCAGCAATGCTGGCTGGAGAATTCCGGGAGTTAAAGTCCACAAGTCTTCAAGTTGCCAAGTTTGAAGACCTCTACTATAAGGGGGGGGGGGGAGGCAGGAACCCCCATTTCTTGGAGCATAACCCAAGCAGAGTTCTCCACTCTTGTGCCTCGTCCCCATGTAACCCAATTCATGCCGGACGGCTTCGGACACCGCTCCCTAATTTGCCGTATGCCAGCGCCCTCCGACCGAACCCACGGCAGCCTTCCCCAGCTCGGTGCCATGCAGGTTGTACTACAATTCCCAAAGTTCGGCCGGCCTTAGCCAATGACCGCGAGATTTGGGAACTATGGGAAATGTAGTGCAGTAAAATCTAGAGCAGAAAGGAGAAATACTATTCGAGCCCTCTGTTTCGTCTCCGCAGCCGCTACTCACACGACCATCCCATTCTTTTCCATCTTGCCCTCTACGCGGCGGTGCGTGTCTTTTTCCCGCCCTGCTGCCTACCAAAAGAAAAAATCAAACCCCTCTCTCTGTAGACTTCCGGATTCTTGTCCTAGCTGTCCTAATTGGTGCTCTTGGGACCCACCCAAGGCTTGCGTCAAAAGAGAGGGGCCCCATTACCGTAATGATAGCCGTAGTAGCTCCGACAAAAAAAAGAGCAAAGTCAAAGAAGTCTCTCTTTGCATGATGCGGAAACCATACGCTTGAATTCGATTAACAATACGTTACTCTACATATTCTCTTTACATATACTCTACGTATATATGTAGCATATATATATATACTCTACATACAAGCTACAATATGTACCATGTTAAGTTCTGATAAGGAATTGAGTTAACTTAATAAGCCACCTTTTGTTCATCATGCTTTTTTGGGATGGGATTGTGTGACAGTGTAATTTTCAAATATCTAAATATTGTGTTTAGAATAGAATGGAATGGAATGGAATAGAATAACAAAGTTGGAAGGGACCTTGGAGGTCTTCTAGTC